CATAACAATATTAATTCAATAATGAATAAAAATACAAAAATAATAATAATAATAATACAATAATAAACACCCAAACCCGAAAAAAAATATTGTTATTAATAATGATAATTAATTTTATTAATAATAATAATACATTTTGTGTGTGTTTATTATTATTATTATTATTATTATTATTATTATTAATATACTTTTTTAAAGGCTAGGGGATTAAGGTTAGGGGTTAATTAATATTTATTTGTTTTTATATATTATTCATTTATTGAATTTATGATTATTTTTTACTTTATTTTACAATTATTTATTCTTTTTTATTGAATTATTATTATATTATTATTAAACACCCTAAAAAAAAAGATAATAAATGAATAATAATGAAAAAAAGAAATAAAAGCTGATGGAAAAGCTAGGAAAATGTCAATGTCGCAGACTTACCACATGTCTGTAGGTGGCCCCAGGGGTTCGTAGTTTATAACTTCTGGAGCTGTGTGATAAAGACACCCATTAATATGAAGATTTTAATTGCACAGTTGCTGCATTACAACCAGGGGTGGACTGACCATTTGGAAACTCGGGCACTGCCCGAGGGCCCGGGGTCAGTAGGGGGCCCCATGAGATGCCCCTGGTACCTTTTTCATAGGCTTTTTTGAGTTTGGGCAAGGACACAGGGGCCCCATGATCCCCCGTTGCCCAGGGGCCCCATGAGTTGTCAGTCCGCCCCTGATTACAATGCAGTTGTGTTCCTGAGTGCGTGCGCGTCTATTCAGTTAAAGGGATCGTCCATGATTAGTACAAAGGAGCCTTCGAGTTGAAAACATTCCCTCTCTAACGTAGACCGCTAGCTAATTTTTTTTTTTGGGATGGTGTGCCCCCGGCCAGGTTTTTATTGCCATCTGTGTCCCCATTGGCTCTACTTGTCCTGGTGGCCCCGGGAGCGATTGGCTATCCAAAAATATCACTGCAACAAAAGTAAAGAACTCTTCCATTGGGTGCGCTTCTTTCCGTGACAACCGAGTCTAGGAGGAGAGATTTCCTCTCATTTCCTGTTGTGTCCAGGCCATACATGGTTCGAATTCTGAAAGATTTTTCATCCGAAAATCAGAAACGTCGTTCACTCGGTAATCCGACGGCGTCATCATTGATTTCCAAAATCAGTTGACCAATTCATAAAGTTCACCCCATATAACAGGAGAAAGCTTCTGTTCCTTCCAGGTCACGGCTCGTGCGCATATTCTTTTCGGAAAAATGATCGACTTGTGAATAGCCCTTTACCATGTGATCTCTGTGATCATTCACAGATTTCACTAGTAGTAAGCAATGATGCCAGGAAGTGACATCTTGCTTACTACTGTTCATGTGATCATTGATTGGCCAATCAGTGATCACATGATAGGGACCTCACACAGAGGTCCCGTACAGCGATCGGTGTACCGGGCACCGGATCGTAGTACCGTGCGCTCCCAGGAAGCGCGCACAGGCGGGGATCGGGGAGGACGTTTATAAACGGCCACCCGCTCCTGCAATGCTCCCGTCCAGCCGTTTATATACATGGGCCGGATGGTAAGTGGTTAAACATTTTCCTACCATTTCTTTATATACTTCCTGGTTTCATGCCTAGGCAAATGATGTCACACATGCCAGAAGTCTACAGGAAGGGAGGACGGGATTTTCTCAGCTAAGCACACCTTCTTGCCTGCATGCCTAATCTAAGGGCAGATGAATTCCAGGAAGTAAATGCTACTTGAATCATCTGCCCTTACTCAAGATGGCCGCTACCAGAAATGCTAAGGGGGTGTTTTTCTCGGCAAAATGAAGTGTGGAGATATGGATGGGTGGGGGGAGATTTAAAAAGGAATGAATTGCAGGGAAATTGGAAAGGAAATATTGATTTGTGGTGCTCAGAATCAGTGTAGTTCCGTGTTAACCCCTTGCCCTCCAGAGGATTTCCCCCCCTTCCTGACCATTTTTTGCAATACGGCGCTGCGTTACTTTACGCGGTCATGCAACGCTGCACCCAAATGAACTTTACGTCCTTTTTTCCCACAAATTGAGCTTTCTTTCGGTGGTATTTGATTGCCTGTGCGGTTTTTATTTTTTTCGCTATAAATAAAAAAAAACCCACAATTTTGAGAAAAAAACAACATTTTGGACTTTTTACTATAAAACATGTCCAGTAAAAAAAATTCAAATATCAAATTTCGTCATAAATTTCGGCCAAAATGTATTCTGCTCCGTGTCTTTGCTGAAAAAAAATCCCGATACGTGGAAATTAATTGGTTTACATGAAAGTTATAGCGTTTACAAATGGCGGTTCATATACTGGAATTTTTTTTTTTTTACTAGTAATGGCGGCGATCAGCAACTTTTAGCGGGACTGTGGCGGGCATTCTGACACTGTGGAGGAACTAACTTGGTGTCATTGACATCCCCAGTGACACCAATACAGTGATCAGTGCTAATAGCACTGACACTACTAATGGCACTGGGCAGGAAGGGGTTAATATGAGGGGCAATCAAAGGGTTAACTGTGTGCTGGGAGTGTTTTACAAGAGGGGTGTGTGCTTCACTGTAATCACACTGATCAGGATGGCTGTGCTGTGCAGTGTGCTCGAGCTGACAGGGAGGAAGACTGTTTGTAAACAAAATAGTCTTCCTCCAGGGGCGGACTGACAACTCATGGGGCCCCCGGGCAATAGGGGATCATGGGGCCCCTGTGTCCTTGCCCAAACTCAAAAAAGCATATGAAAAAGGTACCAGGGGCATCTCATGGGGCCCCTTACTGACCCCGGGTCCTCGGGCAGTGCCCGAGTTTCCAAATGGTCAATCCGCCCCTGTCTTCCTCTTCGTTGGTGATTGTCAGTAATCACCGGGCGCCAGCGTGAAATTACCATCCGGGACCTGGTGATTGACATCAGCGACCGCAAATGGCGGCACGGGTAGGACCAGGGGCGGATTGACAACTCATGGCGCCCTCGGGCAATAGGGGATCATGGGGCCCCTGTGTCCTTGCCCAAACTCAAAAAATCCTATGAAAAAGGTACCAGGGGCATCTCATGGGGCCCCCTACTGACCCTGGGCCCTCGGTCAGTGCCCGAGTTTCCAAATGGTCAGTCCACCCCTGGGTAGGGCACACGCACCCTCTATGTGATTCTGTGCACAGGTGCCACTTTGTAGCAGTATACCTGCTATAGCGCGGTCTTTACACGGTTAAAGGTATAGGACGCAATAATGGCATTTAAGCATGCGCTCAGTGAAAGTCCACCTTACCGATATACTGCGGCGTCCCACACAGGCTCTTATATACCGTCCCGTCTTCAATTTTCTGGGCAAGGCCAAAGTCGATGATCTTGATCTTGGGGTGCGGCACGTCCTTCTCTAGCAGCATTATGTTCTCAGGCTTTACGGGAGGGAAACGGGATTGTTAAGGACCAACAGGCACCCAAAGGGTTAAACCATCCCATTTAAAGAGACCCTGTCACCAGATGAGCATTTAACATGCACTACATTGCCAAACGTATTGGCCTGCCTGCCTTTACCTGCCCATGGACTTTAAGCCCTCTCCTACCGGGCACTTATACCCCCTTCCTGCCCAGGCCACTTTTCAGCTTTCAGCACCGTCGCACTTTGAATGACAATTGCGCGGTCATGCAAACACTGTACCCATGTGACATTTTTATAATTTTTTTTAGACAGATAGACCTTTATTTTGGTGGTATTTAATCACCTCGGGGTTTTTCATTTTTTTGCGAAACAAACCAAAAACAACTGAAAATTTTGAAAAAAAAAGTTTTTTCTTAGTTTTTGTTATAACATTTTGTAAATAAGCGATTTTTCTCCTTCACTGATGTGTGCTAATGAGGCTGCAGTGATGGACACTGATAGGTGGCACTGATAGGTGGCACTGATGGGCACTGATAGGTGGCACTGATGGGCACTGATAGGTGGCACTGATGGGCACTGATGAGGAGGCACTAGTAGGTGGCACTGATGGGCATTGACAGGCATCACTGATGGGCACTGAAAGGCAGCACTCATATATGGCACAGATAGGTGGCAATGACTGGCACTGATAGGCAGCACTGTTAGGCAGAACTGACTGGCACTGAAAGGCAGCTCAGAAGGGCACTGATATGTGGCATTGATGTGGCACCAGGGGCGGACTGACAACTCATGGGGCCCTCGGACAATAGGGGATCATGGGGCCCCTGTGTCCTTGCCCACACTCAAAAAAGCCTATGAAAAAGGTACCAGGGGCATCTCATGGGGCCCCCTACTGACCCCGGGCCCTCGGGCAGTGCCCGAGTTTCCAAATGGTCAGTCCGCCCCTGTGTGGCACTTACGGGCACTGACAGGTGGCACTGCTGGGGCTGCACTGATGATCAGTGTACATGTCCCCTCCGCGGAATGCCGATTACCAGCTCTCCTCTCCTCTATCAGCGTGACAACTCGAGAGAGGAGAGAAATGCCGATAACCGGCATTTCCCCATTTACATGCGTTCAGCTGTTATTGGACACAGCTGATCACATGACCGAGCCGACATCTTCGGCTCTTTCCACTGATCGGTGATCCGGTGTGTCCGAGGGGCACAGCGCACCAGCGATCGCCGCGCACTCCCAGAGCCGTGCATGCGCGGTTAGAGTGGGAGGACGTCATATGACGTCCTCCCAGAACGAGAGAACCGCCTTGCGCCCTTCATTTCCTTATATGACGGGCCGGAGGCGGTTAATGGCGTCCCAGTCTCAATCCGGCCATACTCGGGTCGAATTCCGAAATAATTTTCTTTTGAAAACCTTTTCTAAGAATTTTAATTCGAATTTTGCACCATTAGTGGGCCTCAGCATTGGCCGATTTTCGAGCGACCATCGAATTTGAGAGATTGGGCATGTTGGAAATTTTTTGAAATGATCAATGATGGGAGAATCGTGCGGGAAATGTAACCGAAAAAAACAAATGAGCGCGAGCCACACAAAAATCTGTTTCACACCCATGGAATGCAAATACTTGGAATCGCAGTGAGTTTTGCGATCTGTTTCGGGGGTGTCGTTATTTTAACCACTTCCAGTCCGGACACTTTCTCCCCCTTCCTCTCCAGGCCAATTTTCAGCTTTCAGCGCTTGCCACACTTTTAATGAAAATTGCGCGGTCATGCAACACTGTACCCATATGAATTTTTCAGCATTTTTTTGAAACAGATAAAACTTTATTTTGGTGGTATTTATTCACCACTGGGATTTTTATTTTTTTTTACTATGTAAATGAAAAAGTCCAAAAATTTTGAAAAAAAAAGTGTTTTTTTTTTTAATAAAATTTTGCAAATAAATAATATTTCATCATAAATCTTGGCCAAAATTTATTCCGTTATTTTTTTAGTAAAAAAAAAAAATCCAAATTATTTTATAACCAAAAATTATAATTTTTAAACATTTTTTTTTTACATTTTTATTTTATTTTTTTTATATTATTATTTTTTATTTTATTTTTTGCTATATAAATGAAAAAGTCCCAAAATTTTGAAGTGTTTTTCTTATAAAAGTTTGCAAATAAATAATCTTTCTTCATAAATCTTGGCCAAAATTTATTCAGTTATCGTTTTAGTAAAAACAAAAAAAAAATAACCTGAATTCGTTTCTAACCAAAAATTATAATTTTTCTAAATTTTTTTTTACATTTTTATTTAATTTTTTTTATAGTATTATTATATAATTTTTTTTTAACATACTGTCACCTTTGCAGTACAGTGTCACCATAGTGACACTGTACCACTTTGTGGGGGTGATGAAGATTTTTTTTTTTTTTTTATTTTACACTGATTGCTTTTACACCCATAAAGGCTGTAAAAGCAATCATTTCTCTTTCTCTCTGTCTGCATTCTTGCAGCCATTGAGAAATACTGTGTGAGCTGTGATTGGTCACAGCTTATCACATGGTACAAGGCTGTTGTGACTGGCCCTGTACCATGTGATCTCGGTGATGATTCACAGATTTCACACGTAGTAAGCAATGATGTCAGAAGAAGTGACATCATTGCTGACTACTCTTCATGTGATCTCTGATTGGCCAATCAGTGATCACATGATCGGGACCTCACACAGAGGTCCCGTACAGCAATCGGTGTTCCGCTGTGTCCGGAATTTTGTTTTTTTTTATATTTAAATATTTTATTACATTTTCAAAATGTAAAATTTCTACAAACAAACCATAAACAAACAAACATATAAAACTACCATAGATTAAATTGTCATGCTGTGTCTGGAATTTGCACCTTTTCTAAGATTTTTCAAATTACGCACCATTAGTGGGCTTCAGCTTTGGCCGATTTTCGAGCGATTTTTCGAGCGACCATTACATTTGAGTGATCGGGCATGTTGGAACTTTTTTGAAAATCGAACAAATTTCTAATCAAGGATGGGAGAATTGTGCGGGAAATGTAACCGAAAAACAAATAAGCGCGAGCCGTGACCTGGAAAGAAAAGAAGATTCCCGGCCACAACAATTCTTTTCACACCCGTGCAATACTTTTAATCGCAGTGCGTTTTGCGATCTGTTTCGGGGTGTCGTTATTCAAACATGGACACCCGTACCAGATCGCATGGACGCCGTGCGATGGCAATGCGTTGCAAGAAACACATTTCCCGCACCACACTAGTGTGAAACCAAGTCTTAGTCGCCGGTCACACCGCTGCGGTTTAAAATCGCACAATTTTTGTGCGATTTCTGAAGACTTGATTGCTGCTTGTGAAGATTTTCAACGATTTCGTGCAATTTTCGGCGCGATTTCCATTATATTCCATGGATGTGAAATTGCAATAAACTGCAGGAAAAGCAAGGCAAGAACTACTTTAGAAATGGCGCCGCGGCAAATCGCATGTGTTAAGACATCGGCATTCACATTCATTAGATGCGATTTCAATTCGCAAAATCGCAGCGGTATGACTTGGCACTAAGTTGGTGACAGGGTCTCTTTAACACCTGATACGGTGGAGTTCCTAGCATGGACAGTAGATGGCGGCAAAGCTCAAAAAAAAAGTTACCTTGAGGTCAAAGTGTGCGATATGTCTAGCATGCATATAGGCCACGCCTTTCAGTATCTGCTCCATGAATTCTATGGCGTCCTCCTCGGACAGGGCCTCTTTCTCTGCTATGAAGTCAAACAGCTCGCCGCCTCTTATCCTGTAGATAAAAAAATGGAGAACAGAAGAGTCAGATGGGATTTGCACTCGTGACCCGAAGGGGGCGCTGCGAAGCAATTCTTGGAGCCTTTCATTCTTATATATTGGATAAACAAGCAGAAAAAAAAAAAAAAAGTTCAGCAATAATTAGTGGTCTCCAAACTGTGGCTCGGGGGCCGAACGCAGCCCTTTGCTTGCTTTTAGCTGGCCCTTGGAGCACAGCTTCATTCACTGACACCAACAATGGGGCACAAACAGGGGCGGACTGACAACTCATGGGGCCCCGGGGGAATAGGGGATCATGGGGCCCCTGTGTCCTTGTCCAAACTCAAAAAAGCCTATGAAAAAGGTACCAGGGGCATCTCATGGGGCCCCTACTGACCCCGTGCCCTCAGGCAGTGCCCGAGTTTCCAAATGGTCAGTCCGCCCCTGGGCACAAATCCTTCCAATGACACCAATGTTGGGACAAAATTCCTACCAATAATGAGGCACAATTCCTCCCAATGACACCAACGATGGGACACAATTCCTCCCAATGATACAAATGATGGGACACAATTCCTTCCAATGACACCAAAGTTGGGGCAAAATTCCTACCAATAATGGGGCACAATTCCTCCCAATAACACCAATAATGGGGCACAATTCCTCCCAATAACACCAATAATGGGGCACAATTCCTCCCAAATGACGGCTACAGCGCAGTTGTCCAGTTCTGGGAGGGCGTCATATGAATTTACACAGCTCTGAAAAAGGGGCAGGGAGCTGAAGTTACATTGGAGAGGAGAGGTCGGAGAGCTGGCTGGAGGAAAGGGACACCCCCCCCCCTTTCCTCCACACCACACACAGGAACAGAGCTGAGGCTGTCAATCACAGGCTGTGAGCTGGAGCTCCCTCCCCTGTCACTACACACTGCAGAGCTCAGTGAATGGTGAATGCGGGGTCCGGGGGAGAGCGGATATAGTGAATGCAGGGTCCGGGGAGAGCGGATATAGTGAATGCAGGGTCCGGGGAGACCAGATATAGTGAATGCAGGATCTGGGGAGACCAGATATAGTGAATGCAGGGTCCGGGGAGAGCGGATATAGTGAATGCAGGGTCCGGGGAGCGCAGATATAATGAATGCAGGGTCCGGGGAGACCAGATATAGTGAATGCAGGATCTGGGGAGACCAGATATAGTGAATGCAGGGTCCAGGGAGAGCGGATATAGTGAATGCAGGGTCCGAGGAGAGCGGATATAGTGAATGCGGGGTCCAGGGAGACCAGATATAGTGAATGCAGGGTCCGGGGAGACCGGATATAGTGAATGCAGGGTCCAGGGAGAGCGGATATAGTGAATGCAGGGTCCGGGGGAGACCGGGATATAGTGAATGTGGGGTCCGGGGGGAGACCAGATATACTGAATGCGGGGTCCAGGGAGAGCGGATATAGTGAATGCAGGGTCCGGGGGAGACCAGATATAGTGAATGCGGGGTCCGGGGAGAGCGCATATAGTGAATGCAGGGTCAGGGGAGACCAGATATAGTGAATGCAGGGTCCGAGGAGAGCGGATATAGTGAATGCAGGGTCCGGGGAGAGCGGATATAGTGAATGCAGGGTCCGGGGAGAGTGGATATAGTGAATGCAGGGTCCGGGGAGACCAGATATAGTGAATGCAGGGTCCGAGGAGAGCGGATATAGTGAATGCAGGGTCCGGGGAGAGCGGATATAGTGAATGCAGGCTCCTGGGAGAGCGGATATAGTGAATGCGGGGTCCAGGGAGAGCGGATATAGTGAATGCGGGGTCCGGGGAGTCCGGATATAGTGAAAGCAGGGTCCAGGGAGACCAGATATAGTGAATGCGGGGTCCGGGGAGAGCGGATATAGTGAATGCAGGGTCCGGGGAGACCAGATATAGTGAATGCGGGGTCCGGGGAGAGCGGATATAGTGAATGCAGGATCCGTGGAGACCAGATATAGTGAATGCAGGGTCCGGGGAGACCGGATATAGTGAATGCAGGGTCCTGGGAGAGCGGATATAGTGAATGCGGGGTCCGGGGAGAGCGGATATAGTGAATGCAGGGTCCGGGGAGAGCGGATATAGTGAATGCAGGGTCCGGGGAGAGCAGATATAGTGAATGCAGGCTCCTGGGAGACCAGATATAGTGAATGCGGGGTCCGGGGAGTGCGGATATAGTGAATGCAGGATCCGGGGAGACCAGATATAGTGAATGCGGGGTCCGGGGAGACCGGATATAGTGAATGCAGGGTCCTGGGAGAGCGGATATAGTGAATGCGGGGTCCAGGGAGACCGGATATAGTGAATGCAGGGTCCGGGGAGACCGGATATAGTGAATGTGGGGTCCGGGGAGACCAGATATACTGAATGCGGGGTCCAGGGGAGAGCGGATATAGTGAATGCAGGGTCCGGGGAGATCAGATATAGTGAATGCGGGGTCCGGGGAGAGCGCATATAGTGAATGCAGGGTCAGGGGAGACCAGATATAGTGAATGCAGGGTCCGAGGAGAGCGGATATAGTGAATGCAGGGTCCGGGGAGAGCGGATATAGTGAATGCAGGGTCCGGGGAGAGTGGATATAGTGAATGCAGGGTCCGGGGAGAGCGGATATAGTGAATGCAGGCTCCTGGGAGAGCGGATATAGTGAATGCGGGGTCCAGGGAGAGCGGATATAGTGAATGCGGGGTCCGGGGGGAGACCGGATATAGTGAATGCAGGGTCCGGGGAGAGCGGATATAGTGAATGCAGGATCCGTGGAGACCAGATATAGTGAATGCAGGGTCCGGTGAAAGTGGATATAGTGAATGCGGGGTCCGGGGAGACTAGATATAGTGAATGCAGGGTCCGGGGAGAGCAGATATAGTAAATGCGGGGTCCGGGGGAGAGCAGATATAGTGAATGCAGGGTCCGGGGAGAGTGGATATAGTGAATGCAGGGTCCGGGGAGAGCGGATATAGTGAATGCAGGCTCCTGGGAGAGCGGATATAGTGAATGCGGGGTCCAGGGAGAGCGGATATAGTGAATGCGGGGTCCGGGGAGACCGGATATAGTAAATGCGGGGTCCGGGGAGACCGGGATATAGTGAAAGCAGGGTCCGGGGAGAGCGGATATAGTGAAAGCAGGGTCCGGGGAGACCAGATATAGTGAATGCGGGGTCCGGGGGAGAGCGGATATAGTGAATGCAGGATCCGTGGAGAGCGGATATAATGAATGCAGGGTCCGGGGAGAGCGGATATAGTGAATGCAGGGTCCGGGGAGAGCGGATATAGTGAATGCGGGGTCCGGTGAAAGTGGATATAGTGAATGCGGGGTCCGGGGAGACTAGATATAGTGAATGCAGGGTCGGGGGGGGAGAGCAGATATAGTGAATGCGGGGTCCGGGAGAGCAGATATAGTGAATGCAGGGTCCGGGGAGAGTGGATATAGTGAATGCAGGGTCCGGGGAGAGCGGATATAGTGAATGCAGGCTCCTGGGAGAGCGGATATAGTGAATGCAGGGTCCAGGGAGAGCGGATATAGTGAATGCGGGGTCCGGGGGAGACCGGATATAGTAAATGCGGGGGTCCAGGGAGACCGGATATAGTAAATGCGGGGTCCGGGGGGAGACCGGATATAGTGAAAGCAGGGTCCGGGGAGAGCGGATATAGTGAATGCAGGGTCCGGGGAGACCAGATATAGTGAATGCGGGGTCCGGGGAGAGAGCGGATATAGTGAATGCAGGATCCGGGGAGACCAGATATAGTGAATGCGGGGTCCGGGGAGACCGGATATAGTGAATGCAGGGTCCTGGGAGAGCGGATATAGTGAATGCGGGGTCCAGGGAGACCGGATATAGTGAATGCGGGGTCCGGGGGAGACCAGATATACTGAATGCGGGGTCCAGGGAGAGCGGATATAGTGAATGCAGGGTCCGGGGAGATCAGATATAGTGAATGCGGGGTCCGGGGAGAGCGCATATAGTGAATGCAGGGTCAGGGGAGGAGACCAGATATAGTGAATGCAGGGTCCGAGGAGAGCGGATATAGTGAATGCAGGGTCCGGGGAGAGTGGATATAGTGAATGCAGGGTCCGGGGAGAGCGGATATAGTGAATGCAGGCTCCTGGGAGAGCGGATATAGTGAATGCAGGGTCCAGGGAGAGCGGATATAGTGAATGCGGGGTCCGGGGAGACCGGATATAGTGAATGCAGGGTCCGGGGAGAGCGGATATAGTGAATGCAGGATCCGTGGAGACCAGATATAGTGAATGCGGGGTCCGGGGAGACCGGATATAGTGAATGCAGGGTCCGGTGAAAAGTGGATATAGTGAATGCGGGGTCCGGGGGAGACCGGATATAGTAAATGCGGGGTCCAGGGGGAGACCGGATATAGTGAAAGCAGGGTCCCGGGGGAGAGCGCATATAGTGAAAGCAGGGTCCGGGGAGAGCGGATATAGTGAAAGCAGGGTCCGGGGAGACCAGATATAGTGAATGCGGGGTCCGGGGAGACCGGATATAGTGAATGCAGGGTCCAGGGAGAGCGGATATAGTGAATGCGGGGTCGGTGAAAGTGGATATAGTGAATGCAGGGTCCGGGGAGAGCAGATATAATGAATGCGGGGTCCGGGGAGAGCAGATATAGTGAATGCAGGGTCCGGGGAGAGCGGATATAGTGAATGCGGGGTCCGGGGAGAGCAGATATAGTGAATGCAGGGTCCGGGGAGAGCGGATATAGTGAATGCAGGGTTCAGGGAGAGCGGATATAGTGAATGCAGGGTCCGGGGAGACTAGATATAGTGAATGCAGGGTCCGGGGAGACTAGATATAGTGAATGCAGGGTCTGGGGAGAGCGGATATAGTGAATGCAGGGTTCAGGGAGAGCGGATATAGTGAATGCAGGGTCCGGGGAGACTAGATATAGTGAATGCAGGGTCCGGGGAGACTAGATATAGTGAATGCAGGGTCTGGGGAGAGCGGATATAGTGAATGCCGGGTCCGGGGGGTTTAATAGCACTTTAATTTCC